TTAGACACTTCCTAAGTCGGTAGGCCACTGACCATGATGATATGGCCGAGGACCGCGGTTCGGATTCGGCGTAAACAAAGTAGCCCCTGTCCAGATTAGCCCTGGTAGCAAAAAAGAGACGTTAACTGAAATTTAATCTTTACTTTACTTTTCCCATTTAACTGACTCTCTATTCCGAGATACCCATAGAGAAACATCGTAGGAAACTCACCCTGTATTACACACAAGGTATGAATTTTAAATATTTTTATATTATTTGAACGTTTAAAATTGTTTAATTAATAATTTCTAAAAGTGAAGATAAGCTGCAAATAGCGTGTTCTAAAAATGACTTTTTATGAAAAGTATCATTTTTACTCCATAATATAACAATGTACAGCATACAATGTAAGCATTGCGACTTTAATATAGAGATAAAAAGAAATATGACATATTTCTTTTTATAATGCACTCTTGTCAAAGACTGTCAAAGAGAATTAATGAAGCTCTACCCCTCCACAGGGCATTGAAAAAATCGGCAAGCTAATGTATGTCTACTGGATGTGTATCTACGAAAGAATTTCAAGACAATTGCAGGCACAATATTGGAGTATGATCAATTTACCACAAAACATATTTAAATAAATCAGAATATATTATAGATCGCTACTTATAGGCCCGCGGCAGAGAGCCCCACGTGACTTGACGAGTACGTCACCACAAAACAGACTCCGCCTTTTCATTAGGTACATTGGCCACTTGCAAATTTGTCGAATTTTATGACGGGATGCAACTCCTAATTTTTGTACGAGAACGGTAGTAGACCGAGCTTGGAGAACAATGCAATCATCGGTAAAAAAGTTGCGTGATTTTACTAATTTAATTGTTTTTCTTCTTAATTTTTATCGTTATGTCTCATTTACGTGGAAAATCGTTGAATAAAATGAAACTGATTTGGTAAAGTTGCCCATGAATTGCTCGGTAATAGAGAATATTGTTTCCCCTTACACGGATACCCCGTAGCCAAAGAACGGACAGACGTACAAATTAACAATTTTTTAAAATATTTAAATGTATAAAATAATGACGTAAGCGACATAGAAAAATCGATTGTGATATAGGTAGGTTTTGTTTTTTGATAGGAAATTAGTGTAATTAATCAATCTCTATTCAAGCCAGTTCTTAATTTAGGTAATTTATTCAAATTAACGAACCATAGAAGCAAAGTTTGTTAAAATAATATAAGTATTTGTTAGGTAAGTTGGTAATAAATTGGTGTGATACAATTAGTGACGTAGGTAAATTCGAGATTATTTACGGCAGCCGAATTGATAATTACTGTTTTTGTTGAAATTTTATACTCTCCTTTTTTTATACTTCTAGACCGAAAATATTTTTTCTTGTTCTTTTTTCTAAATGTAACGAAAATCGTATTTTTTAATAGTCTTGATTGCTTCCTTCGGGTGTCTGTAATTACTAATTCTGAACTGTTCTAGAACAGCGCTTACGCAGAAGAAAAAAGTTTGTATATTTTCTTTTGCGTATCACAGTTCTAGGACGGTTCAGAATAATTGGTAATAAGAAAAACCTAAAGTAAGCTAATGTGCCTTAAGTTACACATTTAAAAGTCTATGATTGACAAAATTTTCACAAAATCATGGCTAACAAATTCTATACAGGGTGAGTCTTAAATATGTACAAAATATTTTCGAGGGTAGTATATTTCGAACCTAGAAACACGCCTATGAGTTTTCTTTTTTTTTTTTATTTAAGTTTTTTTAAATTTTAGTTAAAAACATAATATCTTCATAATATGTAATATGTAGTAGATTTAATTTACAAAGAAAGAACCAAACCAAACCAAACGGTAAAAGAAAAATATTTGTTATATTGCCCCAATAATTGTCAATGACATTTTCTATTTAGGAAATTAAATCAGGGGGTAATTTTCTTCCGTTTAAAATATCGAATAATTATTATTTTTTAATATATTTTGAGACTGAATTTATTTATTTAGCTTTTAAGTTATTTTCAATGGTTTCATTATTTATTTTTACTGAATAAACATTTAAATTACAACCAATGCACAGCATAGCTTGTATTCTAGCTTCATTACTGATGATGAGCAGTGAAGTCTTTAGTACCGTATGAAAAAAACGGCGTCAGTTGGCTTGGAAATGACGATCGATGACATTTCCCATATAATTTTACATATAAAACTGACAGCGATCTTCATTTCATAGCCATCGTTGACGCCGTTTTTTATTCGATCATACGTATAACGAGCCACAGGCCTGAGACAGCGAAGGGCCCCTCGGATCTTGGAAGACTTACAAAATCGCGATATTTTGTCGCGGTATTTCCCTGGAAAGCATTTTAAGAAAAAAATATTTAAAATTTTGGACGAAAAAAACTACACTACCTGTCAAAAAAAAATTGTACAGCTTAAAAGTCAAAATTAGTGATTATCACAGCCTAGGTGACATAAGAAAAAAGACATGTGGCTATCGATTTCAAAAATTAAATTGTTCAAATGTCATATAATAATGGCGGTAGCTGTCATGGAATTGAGCGATTAAAAATTATCATAAATATTTTTTTTCAAATGGAAACACACTTTTTTTAGTTCACTAGTGAAAGGTTTTCCAATTCGTTACGTTTAACTAAGACATATTCTATACCTAAAATAAATCGTTTTTTAAGTTATTTAGATTTAGTTTGTTCTTCTTCTTAAGGTGCCGTGCAAATTCCTGCGTAGGCGTTCATCTTTTCTTCCTCATCAGATGGTTCTTTTAACTGCAGCGACTTGGAGTTCTTGGAAGTCCTGTATGCTTGTCCAATGACGAATATTTCTCAGCCATCAGGATAGCTTCCTTCGTCCTATCCCCCTTTTGCTCCCCTCTATTTTACCCTGGAGAATCAGACGCTGAAAGTGATAGCGTTCTCCACGTAGTATGTGTCCCAAATAGGCTATTTTCCTCTTCTTGATGATTTCGAAGAGTTCACGTTGTTCCAGACCAGCTCTTCTGAGAATGTCTTCATTCTATATTTGGATTTGTAAGCAATATATTTTTTCTTGATTTATCAAACTACTTTGACATTAAGTGTCAAACAGTCAGACAATTTATTTCCATCTGCCAGAAAATGGGTATTTGAATTTCCTATATTATAACTACTGCTGATTAAATGTTTAAAAGAGTATTTATAAATATATTTTTTGTATTTTATTGATATCTTATAGTTGATATTTTAATAATATTCCGTACGGTCGAAGAAAAAAACAGCGCAAGGTATCTTGGGAAATGATGATCGATAATATTATACTGTCATAGGCTACACTAAGTTTAATCGAAAAATATACGCTAAACTGAAATAACTTAAAGCCTTGATTTATTTTGGGTACAGGAACATGTATAGTCAAGAAGTAACAAATTTTAAAACTAAAGTAACAGCTTGAGAGTTTTCACGAATGAAATAAAAGTGGATTTCTATTTGAAAAAAAATGATTTGATAATTTTTTATCAGCTCAGTTCCATGACAGCTGCGGCCATTATTATATGACATTCGGACAATTTAATTTTTGACGCATAAATAACCACATGTCTTCTCTTATACGGTCAGCAATGAGGTAGATCAAATATATATTTATAAATTGGTTTGTTGGTTCCTTTGAAAATAAAAAATAGAACTGAGAGGCAAAAGAAGCAAATGTCGAGAATTGACTAAAAAAGTTTATCAACGGATGGTCTTTCTTACTTTCTTGGGAAATATTTATACTCAAAACTTGTAAAATGAAACAGAACCGCAACTAAAACTTTTTTTCAAAACATAAGCTAACCAGTAAAGTAAACATAAAATAGTTAAACCATGTTTATCGCTTCCACAATAATTTCTTGTATGTTAAGGTAGATGCCGAAATTCGACTATGTCCGGAATATTAGACATATAGCGATTTGTCCATACTAAAACTTTCGGTAAGTGCAATTTCGTGGTTATAAATAGTCTTTATATAACTTCTTTGCGGAGGGGTTAATATTTTTGGTATAATATAACAACAAAAGATTAACACCCTCCACATAACTGAGTGAAATCAATACAATCAAAACTCTTCCGCGTAACTTTATTGGATATAGGTGAGTATATTTAATTATAATCGCCATATGTCTATTTATTTCGGACATAGGTCGAATTCGGCATCTGCCTTCAACATACATATATAAATATGTCTTTATGTTTATTTTCTTCTTTGTGGCAAACCAGGGGATTTGCGAAAGACACAGATTATCAATTTTTTAAAGCATTGTGACGATAGACAAATATTTTTTAGATTTTGAGTTTGGTATGTAAAAAAGAGGACTTTTTCAATACGTGAAAGAAAAGAGGACAGTGCTACGGGCGAGAATTAAGGGGCTCAGTTCATTAAGGTGAGTTAATGTATCAGGACTGTGGGCACTCACCTTTATTCCCGTTCTGGACTCGTACCTGTTGATTTTTTGCTTGAACAAAACACTTGAGGATAGCGCGCGCTTGGAGGTGTACACTGTTTACTCGGCCGATCTTGTCTCTCTCCGTACTCGACTACGGCTACGTACCCACTAAGGTTTTCGGGTAAAGGATGGGAGGAAGGGATAGAGTCCAACATACCGCCCACCAAAATGAAATATTTTCCATTTTCGTTTGAGAATAGTAAGAGTAAAATAAAATTTAAAAAAAAGTGAAAAAATACTATGTTTAAAAGAAAGTAAGAGTGAAATTTATGAAGTTAAATTTAGAGGAAATTTAGAAAAAATGCATTATTAGGGTTAATGCATGAGTGTAATTAATTAAATATTAAGAGAGTTTACATTTGTTATAAGAGTAAGAAAAGTAATTAAATAAAGAGATGTTAATTATGTTTATAATGAGATTATGTTCTTTTTGCGATTATGTTTTTTTTTTTTTTGCGATTATGTTTTTTTTAGAGAGTAAATTTTAATTGAGATTTGCAGTAAGGCAGTGGGCATATCTTTGTCACTGGTCTTTTAAGAATGCCTTTTGCTGTTTTCAAAAGTAACCACGCGTGTAACACGATCATGGTCCGGGTGAATCTCTAAGACTCTTCCAATGCTCCATTTGAGCGGAATAAGATTATCATCCTTTATTAAAACAACCGAGTTTATTTCTATTGGAATAGTAGAGTCATGCCATTTAGCTCTTTGTAAAAGTGTTTGAAGGTATTCTTTAGACCATCGGCTCCAAAAGCTTTGGTGCAACCGTGATATCAACTGCCAGCGAGAGAGATGATTTAATTTTATCCCGGAAAGATCATCTTCCGGAGGGGCGTTTAACGGCTCTAGGGTTAAAAAATGTCCTGGAGTAAGAACTGACAAGTCATTAGGATCAGAGCTTTGTGGACACAATGGACGAGAATTAAGCACTGCTTCTATTTGAACCAGTAGCGTATAAAATTTCTCATACGTGAGCAATTGATCACCAATAACCCTTTTAATGTGAGTTTTTACAGACTTTATTCCTGCTTCCCACAGGCCATCAAAATGAGGCGCGCTTGGAGGATTGAAGTGCCAGGAAATTTGTTCTTGCTCAGCGGCGGATTTTAGCATATTAATCAGTTCTCTAGAAGCTCCGACAAAGTTCGTTCCACAATCTGAATAAATATGATTGCAGCGACCTCTACGAGAAATGAATCGACGCAGTGCACCAAGAAAAGTCTCGGAGGAAAGGTCGGAAACTAGTTCTAAGTGCAAAGCTTTCGTGGCCATGCACACAAATAAGCAAATATAGGCTTTACAGGACTTAGCACCTCGTGCACGATATCTTAATAAAGAGAATGGACCACCATAGTCGCATCCAACTTCAGAGAAAGGTTTTACTTGAGAAAGTCTTACAGCAGGAATATCTCCCATAATAGGAGGCTGAGGCATTACTGGATTAGCGCGAAAGCATTGGGGACATTTAAAGAGAACACTACGAATTGTTTTTCTAGCAGAAACAATCCAGTATTGTTGAGCGAGAATATAGTGAAGAGTTTGGGGACCGGGATGCAAATAGAGTTTATGAGTATATTCTATGAGTAGAGTAGTAAATTTATGATTATTGGGTAAGAGTGCGGGATGTTTTTGAGAGAAATTTAGAGAAGCATTGCACAAGCGACCACCAACTCTAAGAATTCCATTGGTGTCGAGAAGAGTCAATTTTCTTAGGAAAGTATTTAGGTAGGAGATTTGCAATTATTAAGAGAATTTCCCTAGCATAATATTGTGATTGAACACATTTAATAATACATTCTAGAGTTTCATTTATTTCAAATTTCGAGAGAGGAGAGGGTTTACGAGATTTAGAATGTCGAGTATTATAGATAAAGCGTCTGCAAAACGTGACAATATTTATAATTTTAGAGAAAGAAGAGAACTTTTTAAAGAGAGTATCAAACAATGAGGGCTGTGTAGTACATGTCAATATAACTTTTCGTTGTTCTTCTTCAATTTCAGGGAAAGTAAAAATTGATTGAGGCCAATAAGATTCCGATTTGGCTTAGCCATGGATGTCCCGCCCACCATAAGGCATTGTCGAGTAACTCGCTAGGTTGAAGACCACGAGAACCTGGATCAGCGGGGTTGTCTTTGGAGACTACATGACGCCAACAAGAAGGAGGTAATTTCTCTTGAATTTGGGGAACTCGATTGCTTACAAAGGTGTTCCACTTATATGGTTCACTTTTAAGCCAATGCAAAACAACCATCGAGTCGGACCATGCAATCGTACTAACATTAGTAAGTTTATTAGAAAGAGAGGTTCTAACGAAATCAATTAACCTGGTCAGAAGTAAGGCTGCACAGAGTTCCAGTCTTGGAATTGAGATTTTTTTTTTTTTTTTTTGGTTGGAGCTACTTTGCCTTTAGCGCAGAAGACAAAATTTGTTTTACAGGTTATCTGGAGAATTATCCTAAAATAAATTACTGCACAATAGCCTTTTTTCACTAGCATCACAAAAACCATGTACTTCCAGGGATAAATATTTGAAAGTGAGAAAATATCGAGGAACTTTGAGAGAGAAAGTACAAGGTAATTCTTGAACGAGTTGATGCCAAGATGTAGCAATGTTATTGGGAGCAGGATCATCCCAATTTATACCTAACTTCCACAAATCTTGTATAATCAGTTTTAGGTGAAGAGTGAGAGGAACTAATATGCCACAAGGATCGAATATGCTTGCGAGTTGTGAAAAAATATTTGGTCTGAATTTGTTTGTCAAGGACAACGCTGGTGAATCAAAGAAAAAATTCATCTGTAGAGGGATTACAGTTTAGTCCTGAGCTTTAGAGGAAGAAGAATTTATATTTAAAGAGAGAGAAGAATCCATTTTGCATTCATTTGGAGATAACTGAGAAAGAAAATCTGAGCTATTCGAAGTCCATTTTCTAAGTTCAAAACCGTTGTGTTCCAGTATAGAAATGAGATCGCGTTGAATTTTTATAGCAAGAGAAAGATAATCGCAACCAGATATAATATCATCGACACG